CGGTGGCTTTTTGGTTGTTTATTTTTATGTATATTTGTTTTATTTGGATTTGTGTGTGTTCAACCTATCTGTACCTTTTTATATATATATATATTAGAGAAAGCCCAAGGGCTAATATATTAAATAGAAAGAAACATACAGATATAATGTGTGGGAGGGCCTAAACATGGCACCCTGCCCACACGAAATCCAAAAATAGTTCCAAAACAAGAAAATACAGAAAGTACATGAGAGACGTAAAAGGAAAAAACCTAAAAGTGTCGAAATACATAGTATCAGGTAGCTAGAGGGTGACCCAATTTGGCATTGCCTCTGCCTCTAGTTCTAGGGAAGAAACCAACTAATAAATTGGTAAGATGGGTGTCATTGTCAGTAGTAACCAATGTATCATCCAATAAGTTCTCGAGCTCGAGTCGGCCTCCATTTTTCTTCTTCCTCTTGGAATAGACCTGTCATTCTTCATCCAAAGATTGACTCACATGATTAGTGGATTGGTCTATAGTGTGCCGGCCATGTGTAGGTTGTTAAACATTAGAAACAGCTACATGTTGTACCAGTTGATTTTTTATTGGATCAAAAGAGCACTCGTGTGTCTTGGCGTGTAAGTGAGCATTATTCGATAATAGTGGGTGGTATAAGCACGACTGGATCAGTAGCTGTAGTATTTTTTTTCGTCAGGATATGCGGTGTTGGAAAGAGGATCATGTTGCATCTTCTCAACAAGGATAGTAGGTGGCTATTTTGAGTGATCTTCGACCTTAGGTGATGATGCAATTGATAACAAATGGTAGAACTATGAACAAACATACTGCAATGAGAGCAATAAGAAGGGTGTGGTTCTATTTCAACCTTTTGTCAATTCAACCTTTTGTCTTTTGTCAATACCCGTTGTGAGTGATTCCAATCCATACCTCATCTAGAGCTGGTTGTGTCATATCCCTCTCAACTAGCACATAAGCCACAAAGGGTCTGGTGGCAGTAAGCGTAGGACTATCAACCTTGAGAGGATTACCGTAAGCAGTTGTTAAGGAGTAGAGAATTTTCAAGTTGAACAGGTGTAATTTAACCCCAAAAATTTTATCCAAACAGGAATGATAGGATAATTCACTTTTCTATCAAAATCAACAGTACACTTCAGAATTTTCATACGACGGTTGTCGATCTAGATAACTTTTTGAGAAAAAATACGAGTATAATCGGTATCGTGAGATAGCTGAATCGATATGTATTGACCGTCAAGTAGACCAATATTCCAACTACCCAACAGCTTCATAGCATCAAATTCTTTTCAAATGATCTCAAGTATTGGTTGACCATAAAGAAATTTCCCCACTAGAGCAATACGCCAATAAGATGCGAGAGTATTGGTTTCAACCTCTATGAGAATAGAGCAGACTTCCCATTTTTTTTCCAAGTTTTTTAATGAATGTGTGATCATCACCACCTTCAAGAGCCTCATGGAAAGATTGTGGAACTTTGCAAGACTTACCTATATAAAAATCAGTCTCTGAACTTGAAAGAGCACGTGTAGGAATACGGATGTCGCCGACAGGTGCAGTGGCATAGGAATGGATATTTGATGTCATCTCCACCGACAAGATGGTGTCTGTGTGTCGGGCAACAAAGCAACAATCGTCTGGAAAAGCAAAGTCGCATCGTCAGGAAGATAGCGAAGACGCGTAGAAGGACGACGGCGAAGGGAGTGCCCTCGCCTGTGGGAGAGACGCCTGCAAATGAGATGTCGTGCAGGACGCGAACCGCGACAGGACGAGGCATCGTCGAACCGTGGGAGACGTCGTATATTAACTTAAGCACAGATGGCGAGCTGATCTCCTCCCTTTTTTCCCTTCAGCTAAGGTTCGACATAACACACTTCCTTTCTTTTCCTCTTCTTCTCCTTTGGTTTCTTCTTTTCCTATCTTCCTTCTTCCTTCTCCACCTAACAGCTAGGGCGCATATCCTTGTTCTCTCCATTAGATCTGTTCGAATGAATGGTGGAATTGGCTTCGTCTCCTGTAGAGGAAACTATAATGATGTGTATCCCTACTACCTCTCTGATTAGTTATTAGGGGCAATTACATACATTGCACCCGAAACATTGCTATATACAAATCTATTACCCTCTTTCAAATTCTCACTCAAATATCATATTTTTTATTCTTATCAATTATCAATGGTTTGATCACGTAGTTCAAAATATCATTTGGATACTAGATTTTATAAATATTAATATTTTAGGTGTTCTGTATGTAATATGTAATTATTTATTATTATTATTATTATTATTATTATTCAGTTAATACAATTGTTGTCTCCCCTTTAAAAATTTTTTCGTCAAAATTTATGAATCTTTCGCAACCTCTTTTTATTGTGGGAAACATATGCATAATTAAAAATTTTCATTAAAAACTTTAGATCCCTTCATTAAAATGAAAAGTGGATACAACAAGACAATGATCTATTGCAATATTACTCGACTAATTTTCCCTGTCAATTGAAGCAACATCACACCTAAAATGAAAGGATATAACTAAGACAACTCACACCGTCTAAAATAAAAAAAACACTAGAATGACATACCTATTATATGCAAGCAAACATAACACTCATGAGCCTATGTTAGCAACATCTTCAAATGTCAGTAGGTTCTTTTGGCCTACTACGAGTAAGGGCATAAACTCGAGGTTGGACTGGTTGTGGTTGACCTTGAGTAGGAGTTGAAACTGTAGACTTTATTCTTTTTTGTCCATCTATAGTCTTTTGTGAAAGTGCTCCATTTAGTTTTGGTTCTTCAGAAGTTTTCTGGCCAAGTGAACGGAAGTATCTAGCCATGTGAATAGGCTGACGACAAGTGACTATAGTACTTTGAGTCGTGCCTCTACTTAATCCACCTAAAATATACTTAGGCTTGTTGAAATTTTTACTCTCTGATTGATCCATATGCTCTTGTTTATCAATACTCTTCCTCTTGTGCGTCTACGTTGTGTCTACGTACACTTTTGAGTAAGCTGAAAATCAATTTTTACTCTTCTAGCCCACTTCATTAACACCGTGCAATCATCTATTCCCAAGGACACTAACGGTTGCCCGATCGAATCTTTCAATCCAAATAGAATTCTGATACACTTCTCTTCTACAGTAGCTATCAACTATGGTGCATACTTTGTAAGTGCAGTGAACTCTTTTTTATACTGTGTAACTGTCTTTTCTCTTTGAACTAACTTAATGAACTTGTCCTGCATTTTTCTTCGAGTGAATATAGATACAAACAACTCTCTGACAAGCTTCATCCCAACTTTCCATTATGTCGGTCATGTTTGTTAGCTTGTCCTGACAGTACCCATGCTAGTTTTTCCATCCAGTATAAATGTGGCTAACGGTACTCTTCTTTCATCCAAACATGCCATGTTATCTAATATCTTTTCTATTTGGATCAACCAATTCTTCCCCTCAATCATATCTTACGTTCATTTGAATGAATGTGTATGCAGATTTTGAAATATCTTTAAATACTTATACACAACAGCTGTATCTCTCCCATTAGGTTGCGATCTTGACTCTTGAATTATTTGTGTTATCCCCGGCATCATCTTGATCAAGGGTAGTGGTGTTCTCAACTATAGCAGACGATACTTCCTCATTTCCCATCATTTTTTCCTCTTTCATAATCTCAGGTGCATTCATTTAACTGAATTAAAATAATAACTTAATCAGAGTTAAACTTTTAATTTAATAATGACTATTTTTCTTATAATTATTTTATTGCTATTTCATCAAGATTGTATTATTTAATCCTAAACTGACTCTGATATCTTTTTTATCACACCTGTGTTTTGAATATTATAAGACGGAAACAGAAGATCGAATAGTGATACGCAAAATTTTTTATGTTCATTTTTTATAACTAGCATTTAATCATTTCAAAATAAATGAAATAGCCACTACAAATTTAAAAGTTTTGTTCAACAATTGATAAATTTATCTTAACATCGGTTGTCCACATCTTCTATAGATATTCCCTTCTTATTACTTATCTTTTAATCAAATTATTAAACATAAAATATTACTTTAAAATAAAATGAGCTACAATAGCCATTGAATATTTATAAAATTTTGTAGCATTTGATTCCGCATGGGAAATCTAGCATGGGTACTGTAGTTAATGTGTGATAATAACTAATGCTAGTGGCAGAAAGTGGTTTGCTTGAACACAACCTCCTTTATTCATCCTTATCTCACAGTTGAGTATGTTTAAAAAAAAAAAACGTCTCCCGCATTCTTCTTGCATGCCACCCGCACAGGCTTGGTTCGACTCTGCCTTCTTCCTTCCTCTTGGCGTAGACCTGGGTTCGGCCATAATCGTGAGGCTCTCCCCCTTCACGCTTCTAGGCTAGGGTTCGGCAATCTCCCACACCTCTTCTTCCTCCTTTATGCTGGCGTTCTTGGCATCGGCTTCTGCAAAGTCGAATCTTTGGTAAGAGAAACACAACCTCTCCTTGCCTCTTTGTTTCCCGCTCTCATTCTCTCAGTTTGGTTTGCTTTTTTTCTTTGAATGGGACACTTATCTCCTTAAAACAAAACCATCTAGACATTGCACCCTTCGAATCAACACAAACCCTTTAAAATTCCCTTATTTTATTTATTTATTTTTTCAATTATTACAATAAACAAGTTTGCTCTTATTTGTGTTCAACTCGTTTATCATACCAATTAGAATTTGTGTTCAAGCATGAATAATTTTTTGGGTGAACATCTTTTCACAAACATCGATATTTTTTAGCACTAATAATAACTGCTGGGCCGTTGCTACAGGCCTTGGCAAGGATGTTTTGGAGTATTTGGTTCTTTTTTAATGTGAACCAGTGAGTCGGTTTGATTGGGTTAAGTTTTATGCTCTCACTTCAATCCATGAACCAATTGTAGAATCATGTTAACCATCCTAGGTTTCCTCTGCTTTTTACCATTGCTGGTCAGTCATTTTGCTTATGTGTTTGATTCAGGTGAAGATTATGAAGGTCGAGAGGGATGTTTATGCTGCTGAAATCGATGAGAAAGTTGCAATCAAAATTGGACCAGGAGATTATGAACCATCCAGTGGTTCCAAGAAGTGGGTCTTGGCTGCCGAGGGAAATGAGTACAAAGTTTGGGAAGCACCATAGCTGTATAGATATTTCTAGGTTTGTTGAATCACTAATAGTATTTTGTTGTGTTCAATGTACATGCTGCAAAGAAAATCATTGTATTTGCTACACTGATAGTGTGATTTTCGAAGAGAGCTTGAGCATTACCTGTATTGTAGCATTGAAGAGATTTTAATGTATTCTACTCCACAAATATATAATCAATAGTTAATTACAAGTGTAAATCATTGTATTTACTTAATGGTTAGGTCTCTGCTTGCACAACTCCACTATGGCCGTGTTTAATTTTCTTTCTTAATTTTATTGATAAAAACACGAGATTGTTCTTTTTGAAATGTCTGTTTGCTTCTTTCCATTAATCTCTAGTTTCGTTTTGTTTCTTTAGATACTCTCCTTTTGGTCCCAAGCAAGGCTACATTGTGAAAGTATTCATGGCCTTGTAATTGGAGAAAGTTATTTCTTCAGTGGCATGATTTTCAATCATACATTTTGCAATTTGTTGTTAATTATTCACCCTAAATAAGCATGGCTACAACCTTGACAATCAAATCCCTCAAATTTGGGGAGGTTCAGCACCCAATATAGTAAAGTGGTGCTGCTAAAACAACAAGAAGAGAGTGAAGTAGGATTATGGGTGTAATGAGTCGGGCTAAGTTTCTTCTTGGATATGTTACTTGCCATCTTCACCCCACCAGTGCCTTCATTCCTAAGGAACATATCTAGTTACAGATTTATTGGTATTTTTATTAGCATGAGCCAAAATAGCTGGATTGAAGAATTTTTAGAGCGATGCAATTTGCCCCAAAATAACCTCCACACTTACAAGGGTTGCATTTGTGTATAATGTTAGTCTTCTCTTCTTTTTAAATGCCTTGCCGATGGATTTGATTTGGATAGAACTTATAAAAGGATCATAACATAGATAATGCTTAATCTCAAAAAGAAATCTCTCGTGCTATTGATATATCATTGTTCAGTAGCGGAATAGTATATGCCAAATAATTGATAGTCTACAAGCTAAGGAATCAATGCTATGCTGAAGGGAAAATGGTTTTTCATTTAGAAGCATCTCTATAGTAAGCTACCTCATTTTGTTGCTAGTATCAAGATGCTCCAATCTTGAGAAATGATATGTTATAACTTATTTGGTACAAATTTTTTACCTAGGATCGTAAAATTGAATTCTTACAATAGGACCCATTGGGTCAGTTTAGGCTTTTGTTCTTATTTTTTTCTTACATGTTTACTCGTATGATTGTTCTATACATTCACCTATATGCCTATGATGGCTTGAAGTTGTTAAAATCAATGGTTGTAGCTAAGAACTTTTTTTCTTGGATAGCATAATTCAGTTGTGCCTCTAATAGAGTTTGACTTGCATAATACATTGCGTGAAATACTTTGTACATCCGATCGAGTTCCTTCCTATGGCTAAGAAGCAATGACTCAGAATGTATCAATCTCTTGAGCTTGATTTTGATTTTTCATATCAAGACAATGAAATCCACTGAATATATTTTTATCAACATTCATAAGCACACCCACCCTCCATGACTTTAGTAAGGTATTGCTATCAACCAATAGCATATACTTGTTGGCTTAACATCATTAATTTCAAATCATTGATATATTTATACCCCCAAATTGCAGAATTCATCTTTGAAATGTATATTTCTAATAATGTAGATGGTGGTGAAGCTTCATGTAAAATTGTACTTATCAGCAAGCACAGTAGTTTTGCTCTCCTCGAACTTCCTCTTATTAGAGTAGATTTCCTTCGTAAACTATTTGATTGCTTGGCTTTTATTCTAATGCATTAATGAATGGAATATTGATGTGCAGTTTCGTAAATATATGCAAAATTTTAGAGAATTGCTTATCAAGCATTTATTTTTAAAAATTTTGAGAATATGATAGTGGCTGGATATAGATGTGTATTATTTGGGAGTAATTTCAATTTTAGCATTGCGCCATAGTTTTCTTCATTAAACTATGGATTTTAAATTTTTTATTCAAATGTAGATCTTCACCAATGCAATGTTTTTTTGAGCCCAATAATCCTAACTCATGATGGTTGATAGTGAGTTTAGCCAACTTTTAACATAGATTGAATAGTAAGAATAAGAACATGTACAATCTAATAACATCACCTAAAACTTTGTTTTATTAAAATCTATGAAAATTTTCAAAAAAACATTAATGTGGTACTTCGGGTCTCGCAAGTTAGGCCTTAAAACTATAAAGTTTGGACCATCAAAAGTTTGGTAGCTTAAACTCAAGGTTATTTTGTGTAAATCCTAGGCTTCATGATAGCATGGTTTACCAGGGACAATTCACACGCCATCATCTTGTAAGGCCTAGATCCTATGTCGAGGCTTATATTTGTCTCCTGAGATTTGTAATGATGTGTGTAATAGTATCAAAGGTTGTGTTTATCTCCTCAAATACTTTTAAAGTGTTCTCAGTTTCAATCAAAAGATAGCAATGTATCACCACTGAAAGTAGTTGTGCATTAATTAGATTAAAATAGAATATCAAATCAAATCAAGTGTATTTGATTGATTTAGTTTGATTTATAAAAACACGGTTCAATTTTTAGTTCCAAACTAAGAGTTATCTGAAATTTAACTATTGGATTGACTTGAAAAAAAAAAGTTGGCTAAACCATAAGATTAAATTATTGTGTTTAAAATTAAATTGTCTTCATCATCCATTAAGTGTGCATAGATCTTCGTTAGGATTTTTAAACTTGGCTAAACCAAAAAAATAAATCAAATTACATTTTTGATTGGTTTGGTTTAAATCTATAACTTATTTATTTAGTTCAATTTTGTTATTTATTGGATTTCATTTAATTAATTTAATAAATTTATCAACATCTCTAATCGAACTAGTCAATTGAACTCTCCAATCTAAAATATATTGCATACATTATGAATATTATCTAAAAAGCTAAGTAGAATAATAAGATTAAAAAAAAATAAATAATAGAAAGATCTTGAATTCAAACTAAAAGTAGTTAGTATTGATGCTGGAGAAAGTAGTTCCAGGCAATAACACCAAAAATTTGTTGTAAGTGAATGTGCACTCAAGAATATATGGACTTACAAATAATATAATAAACAAAGAGTATTATCACCCAAAGATTGAATTCAAAAAGTATAAAACAATATGTTGATTTTTATTGTATTCAAATAATCATAATGAATGTCAAATTGAATAAAATAAAAAATGACTAACTATTAAAAGTTGTGGGTAATAAATGTAGACCATTTTATGAAAGCATAAGAATAAGACAATATTGAGTTTGATACTTTAAAGTTAATTTATAAAACTACTCAACAAATATATAAAGTTTTCCTTGTAACTCAATTCTATTGTGTACTTTATCATTCTCTAATAAATTTTGGGTTGCTACCATTTCAATGTATCTTTCCTTTATCTTGAGGAAGAAATCCAATATTAAAAAATTTTGCTAAATTTTCTTTATAGATCCTAATGATTATAAAAATTTATATACATCTATATCCTATAATTTTTTATAGTACTTCACTAATGATGACTCTATTCTTCTCATCTCAACTTTGGGCAGACCACCTAAACTCTTAATTGTTGTCTAAACAATCAATTGTTTTATATAATATAGCAAAGATAAACGATAACAACAAAAAATATAATCGATAATTTTGCATTAATAAGGAAGAAATAATATCTATACAATGTATATATATATATATATATATCTGTGTGTGTGCGTGTGCGCGTGACGATTCCCGACGTTGAATCCATCAGACTCACATATATATCTGTGTGTGTATGTGTGTGCGCGCGCGCGCGCGTGCGCGCGCGCTAGGGTTTTGTCCGATGACGATTCCCGACGCTGAATCCATCGGACTCAATCCTCTCGTCGTCTACCATGACGATGATTTCACAAATCCGTAAGCTCGCAATCTGTTTCTCTAGCCTGACGACGTCGTTTTGTTCGCCTCAACCAAAGACGATGACGACGTCTTCCTGTTTCGTAACGTCGTCTCTTGACCGACGACGCGCCTCCGACAGATGTTTCGTCTCGCAGTTGCACCTGAAGATGACGACGACGTCTTCGCACACCCAATGAAAGACGCGCCTGTCTGCTTGCCTCCTGCCCAACAGACGATTCTGTCTCGTATTTTGACGCGTTGTAGTTTGCTTCACCTCACAGATTGACGCGGCTCGCCAAGTCGCTCCAAAATCTGACCGAGGTCATCTTTCCTGTGGAGATGGCCTTGACGCTTCGTTCTTATGCCAATGCCCTTGTCGGCTGTTGGTGACTTTCCTAATCCTACTAGTGCCCCTCTTTCAGGTACAGAGCCTGATTTTGGTATCGGTAAGTCTTGCAATGTTCCACAATCCTTCCACGAGACTCTTAAAGGTGGTGGTGATCACACGTTCATTAAAATGCTTGGTAAAAAGAATGAGCAACCTGCTCTTTTTCTCTTTGAGGTTAAAACCGGTACTCTTGCATCTTCTTACTCTTGAAGGTGGTGGTGATCACACTTTCATTAAAATGCTTGGTAAAAAGAATGAGAAATCTGCTCTTTTTCTCTTTGAGGTTAAAACTAGTACTCTTGCGTCTTCTTGGCATTTTGCTCTAGTGGGGAAATTCCTTTATGGTTACCCAAAACTTGAGATCATTCAGAGAGATTTTGATGCAATGAAGTTATTGGGTAGTTGAAATATTGGCTTACTTGACGATCGACATATACTTATTCAGCTATCTCACAATGCAGATTACACTCGTATTTTTTCTCGTAAAGTAATCAAGATCGACAACCGTTTTATAAAAATCCTGAAGTAGACTATTGATTTTAATCCAAAAGAGGAGTCTCCTATCATTCTTGTTTGGATAAAGTTCTTTTTTATAAAAATCCTGAAGTAGACTATTGATTTTAAACCAAAAGAGGAGTCTCCTATCATTCTTGTTTCGATAAAGTTTTTGGGGTTAGAACTACATTTGTTCACCTTGGAAATTCTCTACTGCTTAGCAAATGCTTACGGTGAGCCTCTCAAAGTTAATAGTCCTACGTTTGTTGTCACCAGACCCTCTGTGGCTTGTGTGTTAGTTGAGAGAGATATCACCCAACCAGCTTCGGATGAGGTATGGATTAGAATCACACACAACGGGTATTGGCAAAAGGTTGAGATAGAATCACACCCCCACTATTGCTCTCATATAAAACAAAATATTGCTAAAGATTAACT